CTATATAAATAATCGGTTTATAAAATAAACCACAATTGAGCCGTAACTAGTAACGTCAATAAGTCTGCATCTATAGTATGATACCCAGATCAACAAGAGAAAGAAGAGTGATAAATTTAACTTATTCATTTTGTTTCTAGAATTTGTTTTAAAAGTGAGGAATGAATTATATATGTTAGCATGATAACACAATGAGGTTTTGATCTATTATCGAATTCTTTTGTAGAATTTTAACGTAGATGTAATTCCGAATTTTTTTCACATAAAATAATGTGTTGGTTCATACGAAAATATCAAGTTACAAAATTAAACAACAAGTATCAAGTAAATATGTCTTATCCGAGAAAAAGTATTTTATCAAGATTTAATCAATCCAAGCATGAAGAGTTTTGTGATAAATATTCTTGGATGTACGATAAAGATAAACGGATAAGCGCAGTTATAAAAATCTTGAATAAACTATCCAAGGACACTACGTGTTTCTATAAATTTTCAAAAGTATTTGGAACTCAACTTCAACCTCAATTTCTCAATGAATCAACAAGAAAGATGTATGAATTAGGTTTAAATGTTCTTGAAGATAATGATAATATTCCAACATCCGACAAATGTAATCCTGAGGAATATAATTATTATATGACTTGTAAAAAAGATTTAGAATGTCTTACCAAAGAACAAATTAAACATCGTGATAACATTAGGAACCAGGAATATGATGAAATTATTGAAAGATCAACAAATGACCAGGGGCTTAAACTAGAAAAATTTTATTCAGAAAAGGTACCAGAGTTAAGCGATTATGTATTTGATCGAATTATTAAAGCTAAAGACGTTGAAGAGGTCTTAGATATACAACGTGAATATGAATTTTTTTACGAGAATATTTTAAAAACTTATTTTTCAGATAGTTCGTATAATAATAACAGGCGTGATATTGGCATATATGATGGTCACGAAGAAGCTAAATCTATTTTTGAGGGGTATAATTTTGATGATTATTCTGATAAACTTGATCTTGCAATTCGAAAAATAAATAGTATTCGAGGTAGGATTATATCAACATATAAGACATTTTATTTAAAATATGTTTATGACACGGGCATAGAAAAAAATGTTCCGTATCGTAAAGAAGATGCAAATAATTTTTTTAATGAACATGCCAAAAAACTGGAGATATTTCATCATCTGTCACCTTTTTCTTTCTGGATACTGATGTTGGGTTATTACTAAAGGATTTCGACAAGATTTCATTCAATGATGATTCAGAAAGAAAAGATGGAATAATGTGGCATCCTTGACCTTTGCTATTCTTACGGGGAGGCATATTGGTAATTACATTCAACACAACATGAAATTTTACTGTTTTTATAACAAAGTCTCGGAATACTCACAACGATGCTAAACAAATTTCAATTCAATGTATGAATACATGTACAACACATTTTGTTTGATTTACGTCAAATAATCATTTAATTATTTAGATTGAATGTACAAAACATTTCCATTGAATAATACTATGAAACCAAATCAAGTTTTTGGTTTCAGATTTAATTATGATAAACACTTTCATTGAGAACAAACAAAATAAAATGGAAAAATAGAATATACTTTTTTACTATAATTATAATTACTATGTATATCGTAGACATTACTAATTAAATAAACTATTTACAATAAATTATTATACCAAGTAAGGTATCTAATCACCCCACCATACTCTCTTACCTGTGTCATTAGCATGATTTGACATTGTTAATGGTAAATCAACTAATGTGGTGTTGGATGACCAGCATCCTAAATTTTCACCATGACATGCCTGACGCATGTCATGTGTTTCCTTGCAAAAAATACAATAACGTTCATTAAGATTAATTTCCTCAGGTATAGTTATAGTAGACCCTTTTTTTTTAGGATGCTTATATCCTTTTAATATCGTGAGTTTTAAATCCTGTGAGATTTTCCCCTCACATGTTCTCAAGTGTCTGAACATGGCCTTTTTGTCATAATTGTTGGTTACAAAACTACATTTTTTCCAAGATGACACCTTCCCAGAAGGTGAATATTGAACAGGGAATGAGAGACCACAGGCATATTCACAATTACATTCATTATCTAAATTTTTACATCTTGAACAACAAGTGTGGTAACCAGGTCTTTTACACAAAGGACATGGGGATCTTCTATCCCATGTATATCTAAGAAAATTGCCATTTATTTTAAAATCATTGACCAAATCAAAAAAGGTTTCGAAAGTTATGTCAACACATGAATGAAATCCTTTGGAGAAAAAATCCTGAACAGAAATAAATTCATCTTTGGGAGAAGGAGGAGGAGGAGGAGATGATGGTGGAGTATCGATAATATTGTTATTTACAAATGAAGAAGGTGCTATGTAAAGTGGTGGTGGTGACGGGATATGAGATTTTTTGTCCAGGCGAGATTGAAGAATTTTGATTAAGTTTTCGGCATCGTGATCAGTTAAAGAATTGGCGATTTCAACAAGGTTTGATTGGAAAGACATGGTTTAGATTTTTAAATTTGAAAAAAAAAAGTGGAAATTGTAGTATGAATATAGAAATTATAATGCGTATGTGTTTTGAATTGAGTTTGACATGAAATAGATCTATAGAATTTATAATTATTCCCTGTTACACTCGATATATGATCTACATAATCCTGTAGATTTGAAGCA